TTTAATTGTAATAAGTGTTTTTTATTTTTTATTTTAGATTCAGGGATACACATGCATATTCACTACATGGACATACTGTGTAGTGGGAAGGATTGGGTCTCAGGTGACCTATTCCCTAGAAAGTGAAAATTGTGCCCCATAGGTGGTTTCTGAACCCTAACACTCCCTCTTTACTCCCCTCTTATTGGTGTCCTCGGTGCCTATTATTTCTATCTTTGTGACTGTTTAGCTCCCACATATGAATAAGAACATGTGGTGTTTGGTTTTCTGTTTCTGAGACAGTTTACTTAGGATGATGATCTTCAATTCCATCCATCTTGTTCCAGACGTGATTTCGTTCTTTTTTATGACTGCCATCTCAGAGTTTACTAATGGCTCCTTACTCTCAAGATGTTGTCAAGTGATGTGGGTGTAGCTGCTCTGTGTATGGGTCCTTGACTTCACCGCAGAAAAGAACTTCAGATTGAGTCCAAAGGAAAGTTCAAAGGAAAGTTTATTAGAGAGGAAAGTACGTTCAAGAGGGAATGTGGGTGCCTTAAAGAGAAAGGTCACAGGCTTTCTGTTAGCAGAAAGCTTTATATATTGTCTTAAAATGATGCTTAAGCAACCTATTTTCTAAGCTAACATTTGTGGGCTGTTATGTGGTGGGCTACAAACCATTGATCATACATTTCAATTCCTACTGTTTAACTTCTGAACTTGTGTCAGGAGGAATCCTTTAGATAGTGGAAAAAGTTACTGTTTAATAAGGTTTTGTCTTAGAATACCATTCCTCACTGCCTCCAGTAACTCTCTATTGATCTGTATATTGCCTTTGTAATTGACTGTACCAGCCTCCCCACATTCCATGGTCAGGTCTGATGTGCCTGGTCAGTGCAGGTATTGTTCAAGAGACTTATGTTCTGCTAAGATGGCGCCCAAATGCCAGACCATCTGGTTTCCTACTTATATAAACTGTGCCTGACTGCAAAAAACTCATCTATTTATACCTAAACTATGCTAGTTGTGCCTTCCTCATAGGGAGGAAGATGAAGCTTTCCAGAAAGCATATGCTAATTTCCAGAATTTAAGGTATCTTGATAATTTTTATAGTTGTGTGTTGAAATAATATTTGAATAGAAATTGTAAATATTTGAATGAAATTCAGATGTTGAATGAAATATTATAATTAATTTCAACTGTTTTGTTTCACTTTTTATTTTATTTTATTTTTGAGTTGGAGTCTCACTCTGTCGCTCAGACTGTAGTGCAGTGGCCGCTCCCGGCGACCACAGCCTCGACCTGCTGGGCTTCAGCGATCCTTCTGCCTCAGCCTTCCAAGTAGCTGGAACTACAGGCGCGCGCTACCACGCCTGGCTAATTTTTTGATTTATTGTAGAGATGAGGTCTTGCCAAGTTGCCCTGGTGGGTCTCGAACCTGCAGACTCAGGCAATCTGCTCACCTCGGCCTCCCAAAGTGCGGAATTACAGGCTGAGCCACCGAGCCCGGTTTGTTTCACTTTTTAAAAGATCTACCTCATTGTTTCACTTTTTTTGTTTGTTTTTTGAGTTGGAGTCTCACTCCGTCCTCCAGGCTGAAGTGCAGTGGCGTGCTCACAGCCACCCCAGTGTCGACCTGCTGGGCTCAGGTGATCTTTCTGCCTCAGCCTTCCAAGTAGCCGGAACTACAGGCGCGCACTACCACGCCTGGCTAAGTTTTTTTTTTAATTGTAGAGACAAGGTCTCGCCAAATTGCTTGGACTGGTCTCAAACCTGCAGGCTCAGGTAATCCACTCACCTCGGCCTCCCAAATTGCTGGGATTATAGGCTGAGCTGCTGAGCCCAGCCTGTTTCACTTTTTAAAATATGGCTAGCTTTATGCTCCTATTGGATAGTGCTAATCTAAAATACCCGAACTCAGGTCTTGAGTTCTTTCCAAACTGATCTGACATTTAATGGTTCTGAAGGGAAAAGGTGCTGCAGTTTTCCAGAGCCAGAGTTGTGTCCTCATACTCCTCACATTGGTGCTATATGATCTTCATGCTTCTACTACCAATATAAGCGAATATATACATTTCCCCAGACTCTTGTAATTGCATTTCACAGAAGCGCCTTCACTAGACTCCCTGATTCTACCCTTTTACCTCAGGAGTCTTGCCTTAATAACATAGACCACCGAGGAACCTGACATCCATAGCAGTCATTCTCTTAGACTTCCTAAAGAATCATGGTTCTGGCTTTTTATTGAAAATCAGCATACTGATGTTATCTAATGACTGGTACCAGAGGCTTCTTCTTCAGTTCTGTGCTATTTATCATATTAGTCATATAGAAGGGATATTCCTAGAAGCATGGGCTTAGGGAGGAGGGAGTGGGTGTGGCTGAGCCCAGAAACTGGCCAGCTCTCCCACTAGCCACCCTGGTGGCATCTTGACACCCCAGATGCATTTCTGGGATTGGTCCTACCAAGCTTCAGTGTCCACATTTCCTCCATATATCATATTCTCTTCATCTCAAGGTTCTCCAGCCCTTCTCTTTGACCCATGGAGTGTTTCTGTTTGTGTGGTAAGTGCTCGATTCTATCTTAAAATTTAGATAGGACTTATTTGGTATGAGATATTTCATTCCTTTGAAACCCCTTTAAAGTCTTAGACTCAAACCCTGCAAACACTCCCAATGTTTTTTATCTTAGATCTTAAGAATGCTGCCTACTTCCAATTTGATTAATTTCTGATTCCAAGATTCAGTCTTACTAATGGCCATTAGTGAAGCTAAAACCTTAACATTTAAGGCCTCCGCTACTGCACGCCATATTGGGAGATCGCAGTTAAAAAATAAAATGGCCTCAGAGCTTTCAGCAGGAGATGGGACAGTATCCCACATTTTAAAAAATGCTCTGCAGATCACCAAACTTAAACGGGGAATGAAGGGAAAACTACTGACGTTGCATCTTCACTCTATACCAACTATCATTATACTCAAAAGTCTATTAGTATCTTTTCTACAAATAACAGAGGGATTTTTAAAAGTCTATTAGAATTCAGAATTTGTTTTAATCCCTTCTTGTTGGCAATGGCAGAATGTCTTAGGGAAATACGTGGCTGTTTATTTTTTAAAGAACAGTAAAATGAAGACTCAGAACTCTCAGAGACAGTCATCAGTCAACAGTTTGTCAATAGTTCTTTTTATTTCTACTCAACATTATTAAATAATATCAGATATTGTCCACATTCACAGATTCTGTGATATGTTCTTCCACAGGTTGCTTTCAAAAGTCCACCCATTAAGTCTTCCCTGCCGCTTATCTGTTCTAGGGTAGACCAAGATTAATGGGGTTGTTAGCATGTTGGGGAGAGATCTGTTTGGCAATTCAGTTTCTTAAATATGACTGGAACTTCCAGGGAAAATTAATCTTGATCCGCTGGGATTAAAGTAGGGCAATCTAATTCCAGATGGCCTTTTAGAACCAAATTCTTTTCTGGGATTCACCTTAAGCAAACAGAAAGGGAATGCAGATGCCTAGAGTCAAGGTCACCTAGTGCCTCTCCTTTACTGTAAGGAGATAAAAACACAGGGCTGGGCCCAGGGAATAGAAGAGTTTTGGGAGGCAGGATGCAAAGTTCAGCAATGGGGATCACATTAAGGCAGACCTTAAATATTCAGAGATGTTTTCATTAAATAGGGAGATATTTTACGTCTGGAGGAAAGCAATGATGGGCAGGAAGGGGCCATTTGGAAAGACTGGCTTAAGAGAAATATACAGAATGTAACTGTAATAGAGGCTCTTGATAGTAAACAAGTATCGAGGTGCTTGTTTACTCTCCTAGCTTCTAGGTGCTGGGTTCCAACTTATTAGATGCTGACAAAAGTGATGGAAGCCTGGACCTTAAAAATACCCCACAAATTCCACAAGTTTTCTCCTTCATGGTGAATTTGGAAGCCAAATGATCTAAATGATAAGAATGGATTAAGACAGACTAACTTATGTCAGATTTTATGAGAGACACAGATCTTTGTTTATTTGGGGGCTTATTTGTTACTGCAGCATTGCTTAGCATATCCCTCTTTAATGATGAAGAACTAGAATTAGGAGGTGACTACTGTAGCAGTGGGAGCTAGGTATGATAAAAGTAGCGCATGGGCTATGGAAATTGAGAAAGTATGTGAAATTGAGAAAGTATGTGAATCCAAGAGATGTTCTGCATGGAGAAAACTTGGTAAGTAGCAAAATCATTCATTCAGGTAAATATATATTGAGCACCTATTATTTGGAAGGCACTGTGTGAGATACAAAGACCTATAAGTCACACTCCAAGTGCTTACAATCTATACTGCAATCTATAATACATGTACATAAATTATAAAACAAACCTTAGGGCATAATGGTAAAGCGAATAGACTTTGAAGGCAGACATATCTTTAAACCTGGTGTCACCTTTTACCAGCTGTGTCACCTTGGCAAGTAATTTAATCTCTCTAAACTTTAGTGTGCTCATCGTAAAAAGCAGATAGTAACAGTACCTACTTCATAGGGTTGATGGGAGGACTGGCTAATCTGTTCCCTGTAAAATTTGTAGCTTAGTATTTACTCCATAATAAGTGCTCAGTAAGTGCTAGCTAGTAGTAGTAGTGGGATTAAGAGATCTAAAACCTGGGACACGAGAACAAGGTTGGTGCCCCAAGAAGCTCCAAGAGTAAGGGACTAACAGTTATCAAAACTGCTGTGAAAAAATCAGTGCTGCTCTGGCTTAATTTCACCTTTCCCTTTTGGTTGCAGCCTCCAGTTATTAAAGTGCAGTGATACCTGGGCCCTAGGCTCTCAGCCAGGAGGTGTGTCTCAGGATCCCCTCCTAACCTCTATCCTATTGTCTAACAAACCTCTCCAAAAGTTTGAATCTTTAGAATCATTTCCTAGTTTCTGGCCTTCCCCATCAGCTCTATAACACAGCAGAAATGGAGTGTTGATTATTCCATGAAACAAGACAGGAGACTAGTAGCCAGAATGAGCAAATGATGGGTTTAAGATAGGGGAGACCTAGCTCAAATTTTTATGGAGGTCCTTTGTCTGACTCAAGCTCTCACTCAGTCTATTCCCTGTTTAGCATAACGCCGTTGATGTTGGATAACTGATGATTTTGAGCTGAAAACTTTCCCACACACACTGCATTCAAAGGGCTTCTCTCCCGTGTGAACTCTCTGATGCCGCGTGAGTCGGCATCTCTGGCTAAAGGCCTTCCCACATTCGCTGCATTCATATGGCTTGTCTCCAGTATGGATCTTCTGGTGCTGTGTAAGGGACGAGCGGTCAAAGAAAGCTTTGCCACAATCACTGCACTGATAGCGAGGCTCCCCAGCATGAGCCTTCTGATGTCTGTTCAGTGATGAGACACCATAGAAGGCTTTCCCACACTCATTACACTCATAAGGTTTCCTGCCAGTGTGGATCAGCTGGTGGCGTGTAAGAATGCTTTTCTGACTAAAGGCTTTTCCACACTGATGACATTCATAGGGACTCTCTCCAGTGTGAATTCTCTGGTGTCGAGTAAGGGATGAACGGTCAAAGAAGGCTTTTCCACACTCACTGCATTTAAAGGGCTTCTCTCCGGTGTGAATTCGCTGATGCACGGTTAGAGACGAGCGGTCAAAGAAGGCCTTCCCACACGCACTGCATTCATACGGGCTCTGGCCAGTGTGAGACATCAGATGTCTGCTGAGACTGCTCCTGTGACTGAAGGCCTTCCCACACTCAGGACAGCCATAGGGCTTCTCTCCAGTGTGAGTCCTTTGATGGCGGATGAGGGACGAGTGATCAAAAAAGGTCTTCCCACAGTTGCTGCATTCCTGGTGTCTTTCTTTGGTGAGCATTTTCTTGGTTGGGGCTGACCCTTGCCTCAAGCTTTGCTCCTGGGAAAGGGATTTCTCGTAAGTCTCCACTGCAGGGCTTTCCTCCTCTGTTTCCAACCCATCCTTTGGTGAGTGAACTTCAGATTTAGCACACAGAGGACTTTGCCTGCCAAGGGGTTCCCCCAATGCATCTTCTGATTTTGCGTTTTCTAAAGCATCTTGAATCTCAGGCTTAGTCTCCCAGTCTGGAACAAACAGAAAACACCAAATGCAGTTTCTTTCCTGGGCTAGGGAATGTAACAGTAGAAAGGAGAGATGCTATGATGATGAATCTGAAAGTCATGTCCAGGCACTGCACTGCTTGCTCCCACAACCGTCTTATGCTCTAGAAGAGAGTGGAACTTGGGGATGAAGAAGGTAGGGAACAGAACTGACAGTGGACATCAGAAAACAGGAGCATGGTCAGCACAATCAGGACTGCATGATGAGTGGACAGAATGGTGATCAACAGGAATATCAGAGTGTGAGTGGGCAGTGTTACAGTGATAAGCAAATAAATATTTGTTGAAGATAGGTGTATTAAATATTATCATACGTTAAAGTGAGAGAAGAAAAAATAAAAGCTGGTGGGTGATACAATGAATATGCAGAAGCAGGAGCCTGAATTTGAGAAAAAGGTGATACCCAATAGCACCCTCCATACCCAAATAGCAAACACCAAAGAAAAAACTCCATCCTGAGTTTTCATACTGAGTTTCACCCTGAGTTTTCATGAGTCCCTTTCATACTCAGTTACCTAGAGAGACAGTCTCTGGACATTCTCTCTCCTCAGGTTCACAAAGATCTACTATCCATGGCTCGTCCCTCATCTTCAACTGGAAAATCACATCAGGCCGAGGAACTGGAAGTCCTGCTCAGGGAGAAAGAAACAAGTCAAGAAGCTATATGTCATAAAAATACATCACTGTTCCAAAGCCTAACCCCAGTCTCTAAGTCTTTCAGAGGGAAAATGCAAAAGGCAGAACAGGCAGACCAAGAATATAGAGCACAAAGCAAAGGAACTTTTGAATGGAGGTTAGGACTAAAGCTCTTAAAAGGGAACAAGAGGCACGTGGTCAGAAGGCTGACAAAATCCATGTGAATTAATGTGTTTATTCTTCCCTGTGAAATTAATGGGAAGCTCCCAGCTTTAGCACTGTTAGGACAAAGGTCCTTGGCTCAGGGGAGGTGAGAATGATAAAAGATCACCTTGAGTAAAAAAGTGTAATGAAGATACCCTTTTTTGGTGGTTGGTTGTTTATCTTTAGTATTATGCTTTTATTGAAACAAGTCAGTTGTGTTCACTGTAGGAAAATTAGAGGTAAATACAAATAGGAAAAATTACCTTTCTTTATATTGATTTCTTTCATTCTTCCTATTCATTTTATGATCAAAAGATACCTATAGATACAGTCCATTAAAAACTGGATAATAAAATGATGCTAATATGTAAACTTGATTTTTTTTTCACATAATAATACATTTAAAATATTATCTCAGCATGGATCTACCACCATTTTAATCACCATTTTAAAACGTAAAAATGGCTACAGCAGGGCTGTCTAACTTTTTGGTTTCCCTGGACTGCATCAAGTAAAGAGCAATTGTCCTGAGCTGCACATAAATTATATAATATAGTTAGTGTATATATACATAATAAGACTTTAAAAAATAATTTTAATTATAAGGCTTAGAAAAATAAAAACAATATATAACTCTAGTGGAAAATTTGACGGTTTTTGTAAAACTAACCTACCAATATCTGGTTTGATGGAAGTGGTCACAATTCTTTTTTTTTTTGAGTTGCAGTCTCACTCCATCACCAAGGCTGGAGAGCAGTGGCATGCTCTGGCCACCTCAGTGTCAACCTGCTGGGCTCAAGCAATCCTTCTGCCTCAGCCTTCCAAGTAGATGGAATCACAGGTGCATGCTACCACACCTGGCTAATTTTTAATTTTTATTGTAGAGACAAGGTCTCACCATGTTGCCCAGGCTGTCTTGAACCCGCGGGCTCACAATCCTCTCGCTTCAGCCTCCCAAAGTGCTAAGATTACAGTTTTGAGCCACCACGCCCGGCCCACAATTCTTAGTGAGTTCTCAAGGTATTCATCAGAAATGTTTGTCTGAATTTTGTTCTTCGTGTGCTTCATAATTAAAAGCAGCAGCTCACAAATGTATGTGCTGCCAAAAAGTAATGTCATGAATAAGGTGTGATTGTGAAGTGAGGGAGATTTTACTCTAGAAAGGTCTTATAAAAATCCAATAAAGAGACATGTCCAAATTTTTCTTTCAGTTGAATGTCTGAGTGCAATTTTATGCATTCCATTTGAGAATGTGCAGGCAAAATATTAAAGTCAATTGAAAATGCTATAGCAAATATAGCAAAATAGTAATTATTTTGCCAGAAATCTTGAAATCTGTTTTCAAATTTCCATGGTAAGACAGAAAGTAAAGATGTATAGTTTTGACAGTTCACAGGACTGTGTTTAGCCAATGTAACAAATGTGTTACATTGTTTTCCACAATTCAAGTTTCATTTCAAGGCAGTATTGCTTTGGAATTTCAAAAATGGAACTATGCATGGGGTCACGAAAAAATAAATGCTAAAAAACACAGGATGTTAAAAGATTTTGTGAGGCCACATTACTAGTTGTCCCAGGCCACATATAGCCTACAGGCCGTGGGTTGGACACGCCTGAGTTACAGGATATTACACTGTGTGAAATAACATAATTTATTTAATGAATGCCCTGCTGATAGAAATTTTAGACCATTCTTAATGTTTTACAATGAGCAAACAATGGTATGATGAATATCTGCATACACCATGGACAGCTAATCCTATAATTTCCTTAGGATAAATTCCTAGAAGCAAACTTATCAATTTGTACCTACATAAAAAAACACATCCCTCCTGGAAATACTTCCCTTGCATTGAGATGCTAACTTGGAAAAGAAAGGTACTTTTTTATTGGGTTCAAGGATCACCTAAAGGGTTGTCTGCTGATTGTTGACAAAATGGCCATACTCATCACCTGCCTGGGGCTCCCTGTCTCTGACCTTAGGAATTCTACTGTCCTCAATCCTTCATCCTGCCAAAGCTGGTGATGAAGGCTCGGCAGTTTGCCTCACTGCCTCCTGAACAGCTACTGTTTGGGAAGTTATCTGGCCTGATGAAGTTGATCCAGGGGGTGCTAATGCCTGCTTTTTTGACCTGCCTTGTATAAAATCTGCACTGTGACTACTTTCACTGCCATCTGCTTCTTATTTCAAACCTGCTTCTCAATCTGTGCTTTCCTTCAATGTCTTATTCTTGAAGTTCCTGAGAGGTTCTCATTAAGGACAGGAGCCCAACCTTACTTCTCACTAACATCTGACATAAGCAGTTAACTCTTAATTTACTCTTTGTCACACAAATCTCTAAAATTGCAAAGTGTTTTCTGTGAGCATCTAAAACTGTACGTAAGACAAATACTCAAAATCAAACATGTCTCTGGTGACCTACTCAGAGGTACAACCCTGTATTCCTATTCCCCCACTTCACCCCTCCCCCCCTTCTTTTTTTTAAAGGAAAATACTTCTTCTCCCCTCCTCTGGTTTCCATGAGGAATCAACAGGATGGCCCCTTGCTCCAGCGCTCAGCCCTCTGGATGAAGCTGAGTAAGCTACCTGACTGGGGAGCTGGGAAAAGAACAGGGCATATGGAACTCAGCCTCTTCTGCTTGCCTCCTCTGGAGAACCAGCTCCTTGCCTCATACACATATTTTGCTCTGTCCCTTGGCCTTCCCTGACCCTCCCTCCGTTTTAGGGAGGGGAGGCTGTGGAGTGAGAGAGCCAGTGGATGTCTAGCACTGCTTACAACTGGGGGATCACGTCTGCCTGCTACTAGGGTTCAGTGTTAAGCCTACTGTTGCTGTACTCCTATGCTACACTTTTCAACTTTTACCTTGTCTCTCAGGTGGCTCAGCTCAGGTGAGGGAAGAAAAGGCATCAGTTTCCCAGGCCTCTCCACCCCACGTTAGCATGATACAGATCCCAACTCCTCATGGGACACTCTCATTACCTAGTGAGGCAATACTCTCGTAGTTCTCCAGCATCACCTCCTTGTAGAGGTCCCTCTGCACAGGGACCAGATGCTTCCATTCTTCATCTGTGAAAACCACGGCCACATCCTCAAATGTTACTGCTTCCTGAAAACACAGTCACATTGTCCTTTACTTCTTAATCCTTGCTTTTATTTGGATCCAACCAAAATGTTATAAAGATGACAACCCTGGAGCACATGGAGCAGGTGGAAGAGAAACGGTAGGGTTTCTCTGACAGAGTAGGATTTGAAACACTTGGGAAAGGGGAAATAATCACCCAAGCTATGAAGTTCTTGGCTATAATCCCACACCACTATACTTACAGCTGGCCTCTGAATTTCAAGGGCTCTTTTCCAGACTTTCAAGAACAGTACAAAAAAAATTCCTGAGTACCCTCCACCCAGCTTCCCCAAATGTCAACATTTTCCACATCTGTCTTTCTGTGTATATTTTGTAAAAACGAGGACATATTTTTGTTAAAATCACAGTATAACTAAGAATAGAGAAAATAGCATTGCTATTGTACTTTATAACCTTATTTAAATTTCACAAATTGTCGTTATTTTTTCACAAATCCTTAGAATACTGAAGTTGATTAGCATATCCCTAGGGTTCCTCTTATTTTAATCTAATGTGTAATACTACATCTTTACCCCCGGTTTAATATCTCAGATGAGTCTCCAGTGTGTCTGAAGAAGTTGTAGACCAGAGTGTAGAATTCAACACTCTGTCCTTGGACAGGAATGGAAAAAGCTGCATGTCTCTACCCACGTAAGATTCTCTTCAGGACTCTTACCACCTTGCTGAGGTGTGTCTCACCTTCAGTGTGTATCACCTTCCCTAGCCTAACCCATCATTTCCTGGAACACTGGGGCCTATTCTCAGTCCATACGTGTACTTACTAAAGGGACAGTCAGGACTAGAACCAGCTCACCGTTCCCCAAACCTTTCAGTCAGACCCATATCAACAGCTTTTAGGGAAAATTGTTCATAGTGAAGGCTACAAGGGTCATGTGCCTGGTGGGCACAGGCTTATGGAAAGAAAAGGTTACTGACAAATACCTCGAGTCAAAGGGGAAGGAAGTACTCCCTATGGAGTCCTTCATCCACCTGGTTAGTTGGTTCCGATCAAAGCAACTCCAGGATAGAAAGAAAAGTTACATTGTGGAAACTAATAGAGTGTTTCAGAAACATAAAAGTCCCTCTCACCTGGCATCTGGCAGTTGAAGACAGGACAGCCATTCCCTCCTCCGTGCTCTCCTTACAGAAAAAACAGAGTCCTCATGAGGCCAAGGGGTGGGATGAGAAAGTAGGTATGAGAAAAACCAGTCCTGTGTGTAGTCTCTCAACCTGTGAAGTAAGAACTCTCCATATTCCAGTGAGAGATGTCCCCACCCCCATTCCCAACACCCGATACAAAGGGGGACAAAGTAAAGCAAGGCCAGGAGCAACCCCATCCCAACTCAGAATCAGAGCCAATAGCCATGGGTATTTCTAGTTAGGACATGATGTGCTGCTTGTTTTACAATGATGCTAGAGGCAGCGTTCTATATCTAGGAGTCAAGAATATGGTAAGATTCATACAGCATTTACAAATTTACATTCAGGCTGGTTGCAGTGACTCACACCTGTAATCCTAGTGTTTTGGGAGGATGAGCCAGGAGGACCGCTTGAGCCAGGAGCTCAAGTCCGGTGTAGGCAACATAGTGAGACTTCATCTCTACAAATAATAAAAAAAATTAGCCAGGCTCAGTGGTGTACACCTGTAGTCCCAGCTACTCAGGAGGCAGGAGGATTGCTTGAGCCTAGGAGTTTGAGGCTGCAGTGAGCTGGGCAACAGAGTGAGACCCCAACTCAAATTAACTAATCAATTCACCTTCAATATTGCTCTGAGTGATTTTTGGACAAAACCACAGCAGTTTTGTAAATGACGATATGGAACACACATATCAAGGAAAATCCATAGTCTTTCCAAAGGAAAAATACCTCATTCACAGCCCTTGCTAAAGGAGTACCCCTTGGGGAGCCATGTTTTGTACATGTAACCTTGTATCTCATTCCTGGAGCCACACTGATTAGGCTGCAGGTGGGCAATGCACAGGTGACCTAGATGGAGATGTGATTTGGCTTGAAAAGATGACATCTGTCCTCAGGGATGTGAACTAAGAAATTTCTGGACAAGTGGGTAATGAGCTGAAAGGATACCATGAGGTACAAAAGTAGCCATGAGGATCAGAGGAACCAAAGTTACCAGGAAGCTAAACCTGTGGGCACATGGAAGGTATGGGGTAGAAAGAAGATCACAATAGACAATGGGGCAAGAAGTAAGCAGGGGGGAACAACTCAGTTACCTCAGTGGTGAAACAATGAAGCAAAACCTAGGAATTCCTGGCCCTGAAGTCCCTCCCCTCACCTAGTGTCACCCACAGGCTCCAATTTCCATGTAGACCAGCCTTAATCTTTTCTTGGATTTCCATAAGAATCTATACCCTCTTGGGCTCTGTGCAAATCCTTATCACTCCTTTTACTTGAGTTATGTCTTGGTTTCTCACAATGAAGAGTCCAATAAAACATAGTTCAGTCTAGCATTTCTGGGAGTCATGGGGAGGGGGGCAGTGAGGACATAGTGTGGACCTGGCAAGGAGGAGCAAAAGGCATGTCTGTGGCTCACTGTGGCCCACAGCCATCAAGAGAATATGTCACTGCTCCTTGTGATTCATCCTTCTGTTCAGCCAGCATTTACTCAGCACCAACTATTTAAACCAAGCCCAAAGACTGTAAGATGTTCTCCTCGTCTTCCAGAAGCTATAGACTATCACATATAACACACAAGTAAAAATAGTATTTCAGTACAGGATGGGTAGTGAGTGCTGTAAAGAGAGATGCATGACGATCTGAGAGCATCTCAGAGGCTCACCTAACCCAGGTGGGAGGGAGGGAGAAACACTGCAGCTTTCTTGATAGAAGAGGGATCGAAGGCAAAATTTGATTTGGAGAAGAAAGGTGGCGCATTCTAGGAAAAAAAAACACTCAAGTTTTTCAACAAGAAGGAAGCAGGCCATTACATGAAAAGGATTAATGGTGAAATTAATCTAGAATGATGGGAGTGCAGGCTGTGAACAGTGCTATGGGAACAGACGAGGCTAGAGAAGTAGGCGGAGGCCAGTGTCATCAAGAGCTCTGCATGGCCCCTTCTCCATAGACAAAGGGATCACTGGAGGATTTGAGCATGGACCTGTCATCATGTTTGTGTCTAAGAAAGACCACTGTGACTTGCAGCAAGGGCCTTGAAATAGACACACTCTTTGACCTAGCAATTATCTCCTAGACACTTATACTAAGGAAATCAGTAAGAACATATACAAGTTTAAAAAAATTTTTTTTAGTCAGGGTCTCACTCTGTTGCCCAGGCTAGAGTGCAGTGGCATGATCACAGCTCACCGCAACCTCAACCTCTTGGGCTCAGGTGATGCTTTGGTCTCAGTCTCCCAAGTAACTGGGACTACAGGTGTGTGCCACCATGCCCAGCGAATGTTTTGATATTTTGTAGAGATGATATCTTGCTATGTTGCCTAGGCTGGTCTCAAACTCTTGGCTCAAGCCATCATCCCACCTCGGCCTCCCCCAGTGCTGGGATTACAGGTGTGAGCCACCATGCCTGGCCTCACAGATTTTTATTAATCATTAACACTAATCTTTACTATTATGTGCCAGGCAAATTCCTAAGCACTTTACATGTATTCACTTAATATTTACAATAATGCAGCAGAATATGAAATCCTCTAAACATCTAAAATAGGAGATTTGGTTAATTTATGGTCCAGTCCATCGACACAATGGAACACTATTAAATATCATCTTACTAACAACTAGCATTTATTGAGCATTTGCTATTTATTAGGAGCTATGCTAAGTGCTCTTTATAAGGATAATTTAATTCTATCCTCATAATTCATAGATTAGAAAATTTAGGCTTTGTAAGAGGCTGAAGTAGAATTTGAACCCTGGTCTACCTGGCAGCTATTTTTTTTTTGAGTTGGAGTCTCACTCTGTTGCCCAGGCTGGAGTGCAGTGGCACACTCAGGGCCACCCAGCATTGACGTGCTGGGCTCAGGCGATCCTTCTGCCTCAGCCTTCCAAGTAGCCAGAACTATAAGTGCACGTTACCACACCTGCTAATTTTTTTTTTATTTATTGTAGAGATGAGGTCTCACCAAGTTTCCCAGGCTGGTCTCAAACCCCTGGGCTCAGGCAATCCTCTTGCCTTGGCCTCCCAAAGTGCTGAGATTACAGGCTTGAGTCATCACGCCTGGCCTGCCTGGCAGCCTTTAACTCTTAGGCTATAATGATTTGTTTTCATAAAAGAGCCACATAGATAACAGACCAATAGTCTACAGTGGTTCCCAGCCTTTTTGGCATCAGAGACTGGTTTTGTGGAAGATAATTTTTCCACGGAAGGTGGGGGAGGGTGTATCATCCGGCGTTAGATTCTCATAAATAGCACACAACCTTGCATGCGCAGTTCACATTAGGGTTCACGCTTCTATGAGAATCTAATGCCACCACTGATCTGACAGAATATGGAGCTCTACTTGCTCCCCTGCTCACCTCCTGCTGTGTGGCCAGGTTCCTAACAGGCCATGGACCGCTACTGGTTCGCCGGGGGTTGGAGACTCTTGGTCTAGAACAGAAAATCCCAAATACATTTAAGCACTTGGGAAGCTTAATACACCACGGAGGTGGCATTACCAATCACTGGGAGAAGACACTAATGACAAACTACAAGCAACTTCAAGGTTCTTTAATCAGATAACGAATAAGTTGTGATTATATACTGGGTGCCATCAAATGTACACACATTTTAAGAGTTGTTACTTATGTATTACCTTTTTCAAGCTAAATTGAATTATGGTAGCAACATGTAGTATGACGTTCGCTCAAAAGATGGCGCTAATCCTTTGTTGTCAGTATATATTGAGTATTACAATTTTAACACGTTCGTGATCAGCACATTTTTCAGTTTCCTAATACTGTGAGAGCTGGTGAAAATAAAACAAAATCTGAAGCTGGTTGCTACAAACTTCTGTTGTTAAGCATATGTGAAATGGTCTTTTCTAAATTGTCACCTTTTTCACAATACAGCTGAAAGTTGCAGACATACCCACTTAGATACCACTCTGACTAGCATTCTGTACTTTGTATTTTTATTTGGATTATAAACCGAATATATATTATCCAGAAGCAGTATTTGCAAAGACGTAATAAATTCATGTCAGCAGCAACCAGGAACATAATTTGGAATGATGTAAATTCATGTCAGTGATCATGAATGAGTTTAATAGAGTCTTTTCCTTTCTTAAAATGTGTATGCTTTTTTTGGCACTCTCTGTATATTCATATAGATAAATATTATACATTAAGACGAACTAGAGCGCTTTGGGAAGCCAAGGCAGGAGGACTGCTTGAGGCCAGGAGTTCAAGAGAAGTCTGGGCAACAAAGCGAAACCCCTTCTCTAAAAAAAAAAAAAAAAAAAGTGGGTGCAGAGCCTGTAGTCCCAGCTGCTTGGGAGGCTGAGCAGGAGGATCACTTGAGCCTAGAAGCTTAAGGCTGAACTGAGCTATGATCATGCCACTGCACTCCAGCCTGGGTGACAGAGCATAATTCTGTCTCTCTTTTTTTTGTTGTTTTTTTTTTGAGTTGGAGTCTCATTCTGTCGCCGAGACTGGAGTGCAGTGGCCACTCCCGGCCACCGCAGCCTCGACCTGCTGGGCTCTGGCGATCCTTCCGTCTTAGCCTTCCGAGTAGCCAGAATTACAGGCACGCGCTACCACAACTGGCTGATTTTTTGATTTATTGTAGAGATGAGGTCTCGCTGCCCAGGTGGGTCTCGAACCCACGGGCTTAGGCAATCCACTCACCTCAGCCTCCCAAAGGCACGGGATTACAGGCTGAGCCACCGAGTCTGGCTTCTGTCTCTCTTTAAAAAAAGCGGGGGTGAACCTCATATTAGCAGAGATAGATTTTAGAAATATAACTACTGAGCAAAATATAAGAAAGCCATAGCATGACCTACTGCATAATACTTATACAAAACTTAAAGACAGGTAAATAATATCTGCAAAAATCTATGTGGTGGGCTGGGCTTGGTGGCTCAGCCTGTAATCCCAGCATTTTGGGAGGCTGAGGTGAGTGGATTGCCTGAGCCTGTGGGTTCCAGACCAGCCTGGGCAACTTGGCAAGACCTCATCTCTACAATAAATTAAAAATTAGATGGGCGTG